CTGCTGGGCCACCCCTTGTATCCATTTCTCATCTGATTAATGGCCCTTCAAAAGTGGAGAGCCACTGCTTCAAGAAGAAACCATGAGTCCTTTCTCCAGAAGCCAGTCTGGGAGCTGGTGAGGGAGTCCCTGATCTCAGCCTGAGACAGAGGAGAAGGAGGGGGTGAAGGAGGAGGATGTCGCTCTCCTAGAGTCACCTGGATGCCACAGGTCCTGAAAGATGGCCCAGTTTGGGAGCTGTGTGTGATTTCCTTTGCTCTTTCAGACCCATCAGATCTCCAGCATGCTGTTGGGTTCCACTAGGCTTTGTGGTGTTTGTTTTTTAACTCATCCCCCTTGTCATCTGATGTCAACATTTCCTGAGTTAGCATCTTAATTAATTTTGCTGCTCTCAGGAGCTCTGCTCACTAGTTCCAGAGGTTTTCAGCAACTTTACTGCACCTTACGTTTGTGATAAACTTTCAGGTGGAGGAAGGATGATGATGTAGATGATAGAGTGTAATATATGGTAGGTATGGTAGGAAAAACTGATTACTGTGATCATATCTAGGGACTGAGACACTTGTGCTTTGTAAAGAGTCAACAGGCTACAGAACTTACAGGATTCTGCTGCAAGAAACTGTTAGCAGCAATTATGATATCTCTGCTTATTTTTTAATTTCTTTGATGTAGCATTAATCATTTTTACTGCAGCCCACTTTCTGACATGTTCTTGCTTGCCTCGATGTTTCTACAACACACCAGCACACATTGTCGTGTGTGTGCACAACTGTTGGATGACTGGAAGGAGGAAGGCAGGATGTAGATGCCGAGGAAACGGATTTAGAGATGGAGATCAGCATCTGCACTGAGCTCCCCAGTTCACTGAGCTTTGCCAAGGCCATACTTGGAGGTATTTTTTCAGTGGCAGCACCGATTTCCGTAATTGCTGCTCCCTGCGGCTCATTTCCAAACACGCTGCAGCAAATCTCTGTATCTCTGGCAGGCTCTTTGTCAGCTGCTGCTGCTCCCAATCCAGGTCACTGTGCACCAGCCCTGGTGTTATTCCAGTGGATAGTGCTGTGCCAGGGTGGGATGGTCTGGTTGAGGGGACCAGGGCTCCTCATGCCACCTCCTCTGGTCACGCCAGCCGGGAGCAGAGCTGCCAGTGGATTCTGTGTTGCTGTGCTCCATCACAACCCTCCTGCTCCCACCACAGCCAGGTTTTTCAGTTGCTGTGGTAGCAAAAGGCTACACAGACCTGAACAGAAGTGTTAGAGGCCCCTCCTGTTGCTTCAGCCCTTTTCCAGAGGCACCAAAGAGTGATGTATCCGTTGGAGCCTGTTTGTACTTGAGCCAGGTGTGCTCTGTGTGATCCTCTTGCTCCACCTTTCTGATTGCCAGAACAGAAGGAAGGGAGCTCTAAGAGTTAGTTAATAAACTTTGTTCTGATCTTGGTTGATTAATACAGCACCCTAGAACTTTTCTTTCACTTTATAATGGCACTTGGACAGATTATTACATGGACTCTCATGCTTTAGAACTGAAAGGGAAACTATAGAAGATGCTTCTTTTTTGCAATTTAAAAAATAAAGCAATTCTTAAAATTTGTCTTTATCAAAATCAATTACTTCTATTTTGTAAAAACTTTGTAGAAATTCGAAGCAGAAAAGTGGCACAATTATTAAAAATGAGAAATATGGTTGTTAATGAGAAATGTTAGTCAATTAACCTTTCCTTCCAATTATTGTGTATTTGTAACCTCCTGCTTGCTGAGGTAGGCACAGGATCTCACTTCTGACTCCTGGTAGGGCTGGCATTAGTTTGATTGCAGCTCCAGAGCTCAATCAGGAGCTGCAATTAGTATCCCCCAGTGTGATTACAGCATCTCTTTGCTTGGCCATCTGACAGATTTCTAATGTTTTCCAAGTTTCTCATGGATGGGGAAAAAGAAGAGGCCTTATAATTTTCACTTCTCAAAATAACTGCACAACGTACAGTGGCTTTGGTTGCAAAACTAGTTTGGGTTTCTACAGAGTTTTATCTTTTGAAATCTAACTTCAGATAAACTCAGAAAAACCTACTACTCATCAAAACTAAAGAAAACTACAAATAGCTTGTAACACTTCAGATGAATCTGGATTGTCTTGGAAGGTTCGTGAACTTAAGGAGTTCAGCACAGAATATAAGATGTAGTTTTCCCTTGACTCCTGAATCACTGTCTGGAGGAAGTTATTAGCAGGGTAGGTGCCCATCCATGCAAACAGAAAATCAAGTCAACAGGCTGTTGATGTCCCTTCCAAACCAAAGCATTCTATGATTCTGTGTTTGGGGCTTTTTTCTGGCTTCATACTTTTAAGTTCCATCTGGGAGCATAAGATCACAGTAATTGAGTCTGTAAAGCACCTCATGAGATCTGCTGTTTGCCTGCCCATGCTGAGGTAGGATCAGGTTTCCCAAATTCTGTTTCTTTAACCTATTTATAAAATTCCTGACATGCTGGTTTTTTTCCTTCTTGTATCTTGAGTAAAACTCCATTTAATGTACCTCAGACTGGGATTTGCCTATTTTGGGGTCAGTGACATGTTGATTCATTGACAGTTCATGGTATAACAGCTCCTCTGCTACAGTATTACCCATTAATTCCCTATTTTGTACTTGGGCAGTTTATTCCTTCTTACTAAATGTGGTGGTTTGCACTTGTCTGTTGACTTTCATCCCATTGATCTTGGTCCATTTCTCTGGCTGTCCAGATCACTTTGGGTTCTGATCTCCTCCCGTGAAGCAGTGCAGACCCCCCCCAATCTCTGTATCTGATAAGGGAGCCTGATCTGTCATAAAAAAATCAACCAAATTGTTCTTGAGGGGTCAAGCTGATCAAGCCTGGTTTCCTGGGGACTTTGTTCCACATCCAGCTCATCACAACATCCCCAGGTAAATACAGGCAAAGAAATACTTAACACTGGGACAAACCCCAGTGTAACCACTTGTCATACACATGGAATGCCTTCTCCCCAGCTGTGTCCTTGGAATGAGTTAAGACTCTGGAAGAGAAACATCTGCAAGAGACATGTGGTTTATATTCTTATATGCTCTTCATTGTTTAAATTTCTCAAGTTTGTGGTTCTTTAGGCTCCACTGCGAAACTCTGAAGGTCATTTTAATTGCACTCTTATTTATAAATGGCTTTCTTGGCCACACAGTGCCACTCACTGCAGATTAAACCTGAGACTCTATCTCTGCCTTTGTTTTATGGGAAAGATTGATAAGTGATTTACTCTCAGTAGAATGGTTTAGAAATGAGCTCTTAGATAAGTGATCAGAAAAAGAGGTTTTTTCCATGTGGAATTATTTTCCACAGAGAACAAATGGCTTGTGTTTCTAAATACTAATGTAAAGGATGCAGGGACCAGATTCTCAGCTGGAGTAAGTTTACAGAGTCAATATTGATTTACATCAGCTGCAAATATTTTTCCCATAATATTTTTCCTTGTACTGTAATTTTCTCTAATGCAAACCCTAATTTCTTCTCCCTGAACTCAAATTCCAAACTTCCATAATTCCTGCATCTGTTTATTTACTTTCTGGTTTGTATTCTTTTAGCTGGGTTTATTAACATACTGTATTTTTCTCCCCTGTTCAACAGTATGTGCACTGCATGTTTAAGCTCTCATTTATAGTCCATGTTTGCTTTCCGTGATACTGTTATGTTGAAAATCAATAAAAAGGCAATTTAAGAAAAAAAAATATGATTTTCTCTGAAGTCTAGTTAAAGAAGCTGCCAATAATTAACAAGGGAGACCAACCCTGCTGCCTGGAAGCCCTCGGATTTCTTACTGACTTCAGTAGGATTTAGTGGGGTCCGTGGTCTCCAGACCATTAATCCTTTGTCATAGCTGGGAGCTGGGCCTATGCAAGAAAATTAGGCTTAGCTCTGAACAAATCAGTTCAGCTCCAGTAAAAAGTAAAATGTTCTTGGCCTTCTCCTCCAGATATGAAATATAAGAATATGATTTTGTAGTTCCAGTTCCTAACAGAAAGAGGTTCTAAAATATCCATTTAAAAGGCCTTGGATTTTTTGGTACTTACTTGGCAAATGTCCACTTCTAGTACATCCTGCAGGCTGGACAGCTGGAAGGGAGTTACCCAAAGCCACAACAAACTTTGGCATTGGGGTGTGCAAATGTCAGGGTCTCCACTACACATCAACAACACAGGTGACTTGAGAGCTTCAACCAGTAGTTTGGCAGACATGGAAATTCTGTGTGATGGAACTCGATTCAAATTTGACTTGAAATGAGCACAGCTGTACACAGCTTTTGGGGGCTTGTTTCCCTCCCCCAAAAAGCTGAAAATAATGCACTAAATAAATGTCTGCTTTAATAGACAACTGGTATTGTGTGATGAACAAAACTGCACCTGCAGTTCTGTCTACCCCACGCACTAAGTGCACAGGTAAACGCATTTTAATAATTTATTGTCATTTATCTTCAGTGCAGCTCTATTATGCTTTTCATTCTTGCTGTAAATATGTAAAATGCTGTTAATCAACCTTTGTTAGTGAATATTTGATTAATAGGTAGCAGATGTACTTGCCCCTGTGTATACTGCGTTAAATGCAATGTACCAGCACATAATTCATTATTTTAATAACACACTGGGCTAATAAATCAAAGGAACGCTTGAGAATGCAACAGCCAGAATTACCAAAGGAATAGCTGTGCATTGTTTTAAAAGTAATAAATTTGTGCATTGTTTTAAGTCTGGTGGGGACTTAGAAATCAGGTACCTGTGAGCCCTAATATGACATTCCTGTGGGGATGACTAAGGACTAGCAAAGAACTGCTCATTTCTCCCAACCCCCTTCTGTTAGAGAGCAAAAATCAATCCCAGACCCAAAGACCTTACAAATCCAAAGAGACAGGATGAATAAAGGGTGAGGAAAAGGAACAGCAGGTCCTGATGAGCTCACAATACAATGTCTGCAAACACCCTTTTCACTCTGTGATGGGTGCAGTTGTGTAATTTCAGTCCTGCCAGTGGGTTCAAGTTAGGGAGGTGATAGCTACCCAGAGAAACCAGAGGAGAGGGAGGATGTTGCAGTAAAAAGCCAAACAGAAAGAGGAGAGAATAGTAAGTCAGAAGTGATGTAGGGAGCAGCCAGATGACCCCATCAGTGTCCATCAGTGCCTGTCCAAACGGCTGCACACTGTATTGAGATGTACAAGTGATGCTCAGTTTGAGCAACCTGCTATTTGCTTTAATGGGCAATCACCAAAGTTCTGTGTTCAAAATCTTTACTCAGTGTTAAGCATTGACATTCTCATGTGACAGCTGCATTACTGAACAAGCCCCTTCTGGTGACATATGTCATTCAGTTCCTGAAATTCAGTGCAAGTTGAATAGCTCCATGGGGGGAGGCCAATATTGTGATTCAGGGTTAGTTCCAATTATAGAGCCAAAGCAGACAAAGATGAGGAAATTTGCACAAATTCTAAGACTAAGCCAAGAATGGATCTTAAATTCCTTGAGTCCCACAGAAGCATTCTCTCCTTCCTCAACCCTGCCTATTTCTAACAGAAAATATTTCTTATTTAAGATAATATTGTAGTTGTGGATATGTTTAATGGCAAGTGCTGTACTGTGTATATAGTGTAATGCACATATTCACCAACACAGTTGTGCATGTCATTTACTATTCTCTGATATATTTCACACACTGCTTATTTTTGGTGACCTTGGCAATGTGTTTGATTCAAGAAGGGATTATCAGTTTTGATAGGCCCTGTATTTAATTCTGTAGCTTGGCTGAAAGCTACACTGCCTTGCATTGATTTCCATGTGCAATTAATATGTTTTCCAGCAACAAATGCGTGCAGAGATAATATACTCTACTCATTTTAATCTCTCCTGTGTACATTTTAAATCAAAATAGCACCTGGTGGCCGAGCCCTCCTGAGAAGTGGTGGATTTAACATGGAAAAGTAGCATTAAGAATTGCTTGCATAATATTATAATAATTTTCAATAGTGAAATAATAAATAATTCCCTAGAAATCCGAGTAACTCAAAAGCTCAGACACCTTCAAATCAGTGCTGTGGTTAAATGGCTTTGTTGTACTGGGTTTTGCTCATGCTCACAATACAACTGAATGTCAAATTAGATGAATAATACAGGAAATGATGCCCTGAAATGTGTAGTGTCTTCACTCTGATACTCCTTCAAGACATGACCCCTGTACAACTAACAGATAACAGCAGGGTATGTGGTCATATTGATATCCTGAATGGAGCTGGCTCTGAAATGGCATTTGAGCTCCCTGAGGACATGTCACTTCTTACTCTGAGTTTGTTCAAAATAGGAAAAAAACCCACCACTGAAATTCCTTTGAAGTCTCAGAGATCTTATAATTAACTTTGTGAAATATTTAATCTCAGTGTTTCTGTCTTATTACAGCTGCATCTTCTTGACAGGTGTCATTCAACATACAATCTAAAAATCATAGCTACCTAAAACATTTAGTTCATGCTTCAAGACAAACAGATGTTTCAGCCTTATTCAACTGATTTTTATCTAAAGTATTCAAGAGATTACTATGTGTTTGTGAAGAGCTTCAATTCTGTCAAATCTGTGTTTTCAAACATAAGACTCTTCCATTTAGAAGCAGAGTGGTCTCTTGCTGCAATCTGTGAAGCTGGAAACTTTTTCATCTGCCCAATATAGAAATGGACCATGACTGATAAGAGTGTTTCAGTACTACTCCTGTCAGACTTCACAGAATTGAGACTATTAGAATGTAGATGAAAATCCTCTTCCTTTGTTTTTTTTCAAAAACATCCAAATAAAAAAGTTGCTTTGTAGCATTGCCTTTGATATTTTATAGAAATCCCTTTAGAGCTTCAGTTCACATGAACCTTTAATTCCTGATAGATAGGAAAAATAAAACTAGTGTTGAAAGCTAGACCACAAATAAATAATAATAATAATAATGATAAAAAAACCCCTCTGCCTCTTTTTAATCTGTTTGTATTCTTACAGAGCTGTTGTTAGTACAATTGCATTTGACTGCCTCTGAAAGAGTAATGGATGATGTCTTCATTGTGCAGCAGTGCAACTGGAAATGTTATTCCCAGTTTGCTGACAGATACTCAGAAAAAAGGTAGAAAAATGGTGAGACTTATCTCACATAACTTTAGACATATGAAAAATAGATTTCTGGTCTAAATAAACTAGACTGCCTCTACATTCAGTAAAGAGGAAGGGACTTTCAGGGGGTGATTTATTCTACTTATTTCAAGAGGTATCATTTGTCTTGTGGAGGTAGCCTAGACAACCACCCAGCATTCAGAGACTGATGGGAATCAAAGGAATCTGCACAATTAAAATGAGGTCTCCAGAGTTTGAATCCAGTGATAAAGCTATAAATCCCATAATGAAGTGGTTAAATGTTGCTACTTGGTTAAATTTTCCTTTCCCCTGGCTTGATATCTCATCAGCCCTGGAGAACAGGACTGTTGAATCAGCTCTGGCTTAGCTGTTGTGCTCCGTGATCTTAAAGGTCCTTTCCAACCTAAACAATTCCATGATTCTCTCATTATGCTCTTGCATTCCAGCACACACCTATAGCAACTAATCACAGTCACCCCTTCCCTGAGAGTCTCATATCCTGTAACCCTCGGAGCAGAGTAACTAAATTAGGAGGGGTATTTACCAGATCAGGGTATACATGTTCCATCTGCTCTTCCAAGCCCTCTGTTTCCACACTGAAAGAAAAACTGCACCTCTGCCAAGCTTTCTCATTCATTTTGCATTCAGAGATGTTTTATTGGCTGCATTTTCCTGTGTTCTTTGAATCTTTCTTCATTAGCAGCCTCTGGCATCTGACAGGTAATTTGCCTGCCTGCAGCTTCCCCTATTAAGAGTGCCTTTAGACTGAGCACATGGAAGGAAATGGCTGTTGTGCCATTTAATGCAGTAGCTGTGCCTCACCTGTTTTCAGTCTGTCCTGTCCTTCCCAACTCTTTCCTGTGCCATTACTGGGAGGAGGGGGAGCTGCTTACCTCCGTGTGGATGTTTCTGTTGCACAGATGTTTGTCCTAAACCAGTGTGTGCTGCTTGTTATTCAAAAATATTACTTCTGCAGATGTTCCTATCGCTCTGCCCTCCCATCTTTGCCTCTGTCCCTGTCTCATGCATGAACAGATTGCAGTGAATTTTTCCTTTTTTCCCCTCCAGAGAACTAAACCCCAAACCAGCCCTCTAGATTTCCTTTACTTACTCCTGAGCAACAGTTCATTCAGGCATATGGCTCTCTCTCCTTCCTCACTGCTTGGACAGATGTTTTCTCTTGACTAAGTACATTCTTAATCCATGAGAGAAATGAGAAAATTTGCATGATTTGTTAAGAAAAAAGAAAAAGCCCATTTTTTTTCTGATGCAAACTGCTTCACAGTCCCATGTTCTTTTAATACCATGATTTTCATATCAAAACTAGTCAATATAATAAGACTAGAAGGTTTGTTCTGAACCCCAGTGTGGAAGGTGCTCTACAAGAACTCAAGAAGAAAGATTTCCCTCTGCCTGAAATAGCTTCTACACATGAAAGGACAGCAGGGACTGTAACAACCAGATGAGAGGATCCAAGGTGGAAATGGGACTTCTGTGCTCCACATATTAAGCTGTGGTCAAAGCACCCTTGCTGCCTAATTATAATGATTGGTTTACAGGTGAATGTTTGAGAGAGAAGAAGTTATTAGTAATAAATGTCTGATTAGCAGGCAGAAAATGCTGAAGGTATATTTAAACAATCAGGCTAAAACCTTTGAAATTATTCCTGGGCCATTTTAAGGTCAGCATTAGCAGTAGTTTTTCAAGAATTCATTTTCTGGTATATTCATCTGTTATTGAGGAAAGAGGGATATTAATATATTCCCTGCTTGTGTGGAAACATACTTTCTTACAATGATATGATTTTTATTTGCTCTTAATTTCTTCACATAATGGGCTGTTTCTCACACTGGTGTTATGATAAGAAGGTACTTATGCATGCAAGAAAATATGGAAAAGTTTCCCAAGCCAGCAGCAGCTGAGAGCTGAGTGTCCATGCACATGTGCAGGGCTTTTAATTTGTGTTGTCTGTCTCTGTTACAGATGTATAAATGAATGAAAGGGTCTGTCTCTAAACCCTTCGCTCTTCGCTGCTTGCTATACCTATCCTTAAATTAATGATTACAACCAAGATTTTAATATGATGCCCTTGTTCTTTCTCACCGTAAGCATCCCACACACATTCACACCTCCCACTGTGACAGCTGAAGGAGCAAGAATGAGCACAGCCCCAGTGTAAGCAGCATCAAAGAGATTTATTCAAGGGTTATACAGTTTTTGACGCAAGAAACTCTTCTTGTGACAATGGGCTGTTGGCTAACGTTCAAGGTGATCTTCCCTGAGCCTCATTAAGCTGTCTTCTGTAGTTAGGTTGAAAATGGGAGGCTGGTGGCTTCCTTAGCTATCTGAGAGAAGAAAGGATGAGATTCATCTCTGCTTGCAGTTCTTTTATGGCTGAGTAAAGTGCCCTGACTGATATTCAGAGTGACTGAATACAGAGTGAAGGATGCTGGCTCCAGTGAAGCCGACACAAGAGATATAAACTCTGCTGAATTAGCTCTTCAAATATTTTGAAACCCTGCTGTATTAATAGGCTTATTTTTCAACGTGACCCTGAAGAGCCCCAAAAGAGTATGGATGTGTTTGAGGCACACAGTAAAAGGGATGGAAAGTTACACTTTTTCTGGGTACTAGAATCAGCAGGGCTGCTGCTGTGACCTTCAGATCTGGCTGGGAATAGGAGCTTTTGACTAGAATGAGATGTTATTTAATATGTGGGCAGGAGGACAAGCTTGTATAGGGAGAACCTTGGTGGTCTGTGGGGGTCACAGCACTTGGGCTATCTGAAGGATGAGCCTTCAGAATTGTAATTTCTTTTCTGTCTTTGCTTCTGAAAAGCATCTAGAAGAGACAGAATCATGAAGGGTAACATTAACCAACATTGCCAAATCCCAGGCATTGCCAGATTCTCTTCACCTCTTTGAACAACTGAGACAATGGAGCTGGAGGAAATGCATGTCCCAAGATTTTAAAAGCCTCCTTCTTTTCAGGCATTATGTGCAGTGCCTGTTTCAGATAGAGAATTCCAAGAATAAGGGATAAGAATGAATACACAGGGAGAGTAGAGAGGCAGCGTGCTGGCCCTGGGCCCAAAGCAGAGAAAGAGCACACAGAATAAACCCCAAAGACAGACAGAAATTGGTATTCTTTGTATTTGGTGTTGCCTTTCTGCTTGAGGGAGATATGGGGTTTTTGATATTCCTAATATCATTCTCAGACATGACTGTATCTCCTCAGTGCCCTTCCTGGAGCCACTGTCAGGGGGTCGGGTTGGAGCTTTAGGCCAAGAGGGGGTCTTTGGGCTTTTATTTTGAATATCTGAAGTCAGATGTGCTGTTTAAGCTGCCTGGAATTCACATTCTCTGTTTTCACTGTTCGTGGCACGTATTTAAAGCAGCAGGAACTGCAAATATCAATTATGGTGCAGGTACCTGACTCAGGTAACCCCTCTGAAGTCAGCTGAATGTGCTGCACTTGCGTAGTGGGACACACGATGCATTCAAAGACACAGAAATTCTTCTCAGAAGAATTATTCTTATCCTCCAAATATTATTTATTTGGGTCGGAATTGGTCTATTCAGCTACAGTGGTATTCTTCAAACCCCAGCATTGTGATACAATATTGCACATTTATTAAGCCATAATACTGGCAGATTGTTTTAAGCCCCACGCTGTGAATCTCTTGCAGATGAAACGCTGCAGCAGGAATATCTGTATGATAAGGAGATTTGAGGATGCTTTCCTTCAGAGCTTTATCACTGCAACGGTCTGGAGGGTCTGGGTGATTGAAAACCAGCAAGTAAATAAAGCCCCATCTATTACATCCCCAAGTGCTGGGTATTGAGTGGTGGGGAGGAATGTTTAAACCATCATGTGAGGCTAAACGGTGCTGCACGGACTGAGTGACTGAAACAGCATCCTAATCAAACCTGACAGCTCTATTGCCTTATAATTATAGGCTGCCAGAGGCGCTTTTTAGACTATCAGTACTTTTGGGATAGTTTGCATCTAAATTAAAATTGAACTTCAAAGCGGTTTGATGGAGATGTGTTTCCAAGGAGTTTCAAAAATGTGAAAGACACCAAACTGATTAGCATGAAGCACTGTACCAGCTGGTTGCTACTGTAAAAAAAAATAAACTAAAAAGTAGCAGCCATGCTAATAATCAGAAAGTGTATCTTGAATCCTATTAGTTTTCTTTTCTTTTGAATTATTTATGGGAGGTTTTGTTCCAGTCGTGCACTTCCTTTCAAATGTTTATTTAGTTTCTCTCTAAAGAAAAAAAAAATGGGGAGAAAGAGAGAGAAATCTGGAAAATCTCCAAGGGTTAGCTCACCAGCAATCTGTTTGGATGTCCTCTTCTCAACTGAGCCCTGCTCTGCTAAATATTTATGGCAATGTTTAACAAATAAATCTCGCCCACCTCCCCATTTACAGTAAAGCAGAAGATAGAACTGCTTTAAGGGGGGATTAACTTGGTTTTTTTACCGTGAGGGAAAAAGAAATTCCATGAATACATATTAATATCTGGAAAAAGAAGCTAAAGCACAGAACTGCAAGTGCAGACATCTGCCTGTCCACATTACAGATGTTCTGCCCGAAGCTTTATTTCTGATCCCATCTCTAGACGACAACAACAGAAAGAGTTCACAGCTCCAGACTGTTTCCTTTTTCTTGTCTTATTGTATGAACACTAATTGGAAGCAACAGACAGATTCTCAGGACTAAATCCTGTCTTCTGCTCCATGCACACATCGCTTGGCACCTTGTCCAGCCAGCCGGGCCCTCAGCCAGACTCAGGAGGTGCTGCAGGGCAGGCTCTGTGCTGGAGGGAGGGAATGGAGCCCTGGCCTTCTGGAGCATTTAGATACCTAAATCCAGCTCAGGTGACTCCACTGATTCCAAACGAGGTTAAATTTCCTAAATCTCCATGTGTTTCTATGCCAGTTGCTCATCAGCTCCCGTGCTTTGATACGAAGCATTCTGTAACAAAGATCTCTTTTGGCTTAATTGTTTTTGTTATGCTTCACCACCTTTGCTGGATTCACCCAGCTCCAAATCCTTCAAGGGATGCCTGGTGAGACAGAATACAGTATGTCTCTGTCCAGCAATGCCTGAGTCTGAATTCTTCATAAGAGAATCAAATCACTGAGATACATAGATTATATTTTTACAATACATTTATTCCTGGCTGAAAACAGTGACTAGATGGAGCACTTATAGGGGGATTTATAGGACTTTAAAATTTTATTGAGTTTGATGGCTGCAGGAGAAAGAAATACCAGTTGCATAATTCAGGAATGTACAGCTTGGCTTCTGTATTTCCAATACTGTCGATTGGTATCTGTGAGCCCTGTCAAGATTTTTCTCAGGATGCTGAATCTATGTGAATGCCTCCACACTTATCTGCCTGCCTATATTCTGCCAATCTGTACAAATGTGGTGCATGCAGAATCCATGTAAACAGCTTGTGCTGAGGAGTTTGAAGTTTACTTACTGTTAGAGCAATTTTTAATAGACAACTTTTTTAGCAAGAATGTCTAACCTTTTCTGTCCTGATGGATTGATTCCCACCCTGACACCTAGTGTGTTCCAAGTACCTCTTCAAAAAAAAGACAATGTTTCTTTTGGAGTTTCATTACTATTGCTTTCTTCTGTGGCTGACTTTGGATGTTGGTGTTTATTCATGATAATTTATTCATTACTTCATTTGCAGATAGTGCATGTAGTTAATAGCATACAGGAACTCCTTCCAAAAATTCGAACCTGTTAAATGAAAGTACCCTTCAGGACTGCACCATCCCTATTTTCTAAGCCAGAACCTTTATTCTCATAGAATTGGTTTGCAGAGTTTCTCAGGGAAAGAGAGATGGCCAGAAACCGATGCATCTTTCATGAAACGTTTTCTGAGAAACTATTTACTGTTTTACAAGAAAAATGTTGAAAATTCATCAAGTGTCTTTCAGAAATGATGAACTTCACTTCTGCCAAGTGGACATGCAGAAGTCCACCAGCAGCACAGACCTAACTTGTCCACCCATCACTGTAGGTACACATGTGGCCAGGTATTACACGTGTTGTGACCAAAATCTGGGCTCCTTCACCTACAGACCTTTGAATAGTCACCTTTATTCAGGGGGAAGAGCGAGGAGCTTAATAGCACAAACTCATATTTCAGTGGCAGCTTTGTCAGCTCTAGTTCCAAGTTAGGATGCTGAGCACTTAAGTTTGGAAAGATTAAAGATACGTGCTTAGCCTCCCTAATGCTGACTGGATCCCTAAATTAGGGGTCCTAGACAGGCCTTGCTTGCAGCACACACGGACACATGTGTGTCCTGCTGGACTGCAGGTGTTGGGAGTACCTAGTAGTGTTGCTGCCCAGAGGTCATTCATAAACCAGTACCTTCCTCCTTAGATCTCACTTCAGAACCCATTTGAGAGCTGCGTCCTGGCAGACAGCTCACAGACAGACAGAAGTTGTTTCTTCCCCAGTTGTCTTGTTTTTTCTCTCAACTGACACAGATTCTGTGACCCAGTAGCACAGCAGGATCTTATTTTTCCTAATTCCAACAGTGTATTTTACTGTGTAGAATTAGCACCACAAATCACTGCTGTGGAAGCTCTTTTCACCAGGAAATGACAAGTTATTAAAGAAAAACACTTGAAGACATTTAAACAGAAAGCTGGTATTCCCATTTACCCCTTGACAATGTTTCAGCTGCTCCCAGAGACAGGATGAGGCAATTTTTATGGAACCTCTCTGCTTTACTGCAATCGCTCTCCCTCCTCCACCTGCTTTCCTCTCTCTCACTTACCACATGGAAATTCAGAACATTTCCCCAAAAATAGAGTTCAGATCTGAAGGCTGGGTGTGTATGTGCTGGTAGCTTGTAATTCTTGACATACTTTTGGTGGCTTCAAAGAGTAGCTGCCAACTGCTGGTCTGGAAGCAGCCAGACCAGCTCAGAGCTGCAGGATCTGAGAATGCTGTGGAATCTCCTGCCTGGTGAAAGCCATTCAAGTCCAAGGCACTGCAGAGCTCCGAAATGGTAAATTAACATGAATCTGTCCAGCTGTGACCTTATCTTATTCCTTCTTCCCACTCTGGTAATTTACTTTGTAGTGATTTACCTGCGCTTCTCCCTACTCAGGACTCAGCTTTGGAAATAAGCCCTGGTTGAGTGAAAGACAGAAGGGAGCTTGTGTGGAAATTCCCATGTGCCGGGGTTGTTTTTACTGTGACACATCTCCTTTTCCTTTCTGGTTAGGCAGTTCAAGGGAAAACCAACATAAAAAGCTGTGGTTAGACAGATGTGTCCCTATCCTTTTGCCCAGAAAACTCCTGGGTGCAGTGGAGATAACGTGGAATGTGCAAAGATCCTGTTCCTTTTAGAACCTCTGTTTCACTGAGTAAAACAGTCCTCAGGTAAATGTTTTACCTAATAGCAGTTTTTAAGAAAATAACTAGCTGGGACCCATTCCTTCAACTGATTACACTCTTCAAACTCAAATCCTATGCTTTTGATTTCTGTAGCTATTTATTAATTTATAAAACACTTTTTAAAAGCAGAGATCTGTATGTCACATAAAATGATATTATAAACTTAATACTCTTACAAGGAAGGTCAGGAAAATCTTTGCTACCTCTCTGAATACAAAGAAAACAGGAGGATGAATCAAACTCATTAATTAACAGCTTATAACAGGATTATTTGCCTTTTGGGGAAATGTTTCTTCTAATTGAACCTGGATAAGTGACTTTTAGACAGTTAACATGTATAAAATGTATCGGAGTGGTGTAACTCTCCATTCCTGTTGGTATCATCTGAGATTGAGTCCTCAGGAACATAAGGAGCGCACGGCGTGAGAATGGATTCCGTGATGCTCTTCGTGTCTGCTGGCTGGGAAGTAATTGCAGCAGAAAAAGAAGAAATCACCAACTTGTACTGGCATGTTCTTCTGCCTGCTTAGATTTATAAATGTAAGTATCCGTGGCCAGCAAAGACTTGGCAATAAGTGAATGCTGACTTCAGGCAGCTCTCCCTGAATGAGATGTGGTGGTGACAACATATCCTTGTGTAATTTGGCTACAAAGAGTTGCTATGAATCTATTCCAAAACAATGAAATAGCTGTTGTCCCCAGAAGTTTTCTGGCCTGCTATGGCACATAATTAAACAATCTGAGATGTTTTGGTGCTTATTGTAGCAAACTTGGTCTTAAGTGCTCTCAGCTGAGTTCCTGGTTTGCCACAGACTTTCAGTCTGACCGAGAATAAACTGTTTAATCTCGCTGTGCCAGACAGGAGTGTTGTGAGGATGCATTAGTAGGTCTGCAGAAGGCACATGGATATCATGACCATAGGTTATGTATAAAACAGCACAACAGTTACAGCTTGGAACTGGCAGATATTTCACCAGGTGGAGTCTCCCAATCAGAGGAGAACATTTACCCACACCATGGGAAGAACTGCAACTTGTGTGTGAAAGCTGTGGCAAGGTGTGCTTACAAAGTCATTACAGAAAATGAAGGAAACAGTTTTCTTGTGTGATGGCAGGTTCATACCAAAGTCATAAACCAGAAAAAATGCATCTGCATTTTGGGTGGGTTGATGTTGGCCAGCTACCAGATGCCCACCCAGCCATTCTCACTCCACTTCCTCAACAGGACAAAGGAGAAAGAGGAAAAATCATGTGGCTCAATATACAGACAGGGAAATGACTTAAAAATCATGTGGAATGGTGGGCTATGGTCAGTCCCTAAGAGCTTCATCCTCCTCACAGCCTTCCCTGCTCCCCACAGCCTCTCCCTCATGGTGCAGGAGGCTCCTCCTCCTCCTCCCCCAGCTCGGACCTGGGTGCTCACAGGGTCGTTTCTCACACCTTTTTCCTCACTCCAAGCAGGTTTTACCTCTTCTGAAATGTCCTTCCCTGGCCATCCACAGCCTGGTTGAGGTCTCAGCTGTGTCTCTGCTGGGGCCACTGGGACCAGCCTGGACCAGCCCTGGGGTCCCCTCACGGAGCCTCCACAGCCCCCAGCAGCAGGGTATGGACACCCAGGGCAGGAGTTCATTGAGCAGGAGCTGGCACTGACCCTGCTCCCCAAGCCTCTGTTGGGGAGGTTCTGAGCAATAAATCAGTACTCCATCATTTTTCTCACTAAACAGCTGTTCCATGTTCCTGCGGGAGCACTATATGGATTTTTTTTTTTGTCTATAGGAACTATAGGGAATAAGGGAGCTCTGCTGATCAGGACTGAGTGGCTGAATGATTGATTTAAGAGTGCTTTGTCCTCAGGGGTTCTCTGATCTTAATTCTAAATGCTAATGGGTAGTAATGTGCTGTCTTAAGGAGCGAGGTACTGTCAACTTCACATCTCAGAAGAAATTCCAGGTTCTTTGGAAAAACAGTGGTGCAGCCTCAGCCCAGGGAAAACTGAGCTTGTTAAAGGTCTAAGATTTATTAAGAAAATACAGGTGATTGATAAAAGCATTTGTTTACAGGAGCAATTTGTTGGTGACAAAATCAGAACTGGGCCCTGAGTCTGCTGTGGTTCTCTAAACCTCATCCAAATCCAGTGACATGCTCTGTGTGGGGAGTCTGCACTTGAAGTTTTTGATAATCTGGCTGTACAGAGCAACTCATCTCAAATAGGGGTAAGAACCAAAGCCTGCAAGTCAGTTTTCTTGAAACAGTTGAACGTTCCCATTTGGGAATGTGACTGTCACAGCATCCTCAGCAGTGGGCTGGAGAGCAAGTTCAGAGTGGTGACAAAGACAAGGAGATCAGAGGGGCACAGGCATGTATTCAGGGTGATGGATGGATACCCAGGGGACCATCAGGTATTTTGGGTTCAGTTCACCTCATAATTTACCATTAGAAACTTCTCCAGCTGAACACCCGTTGGATCTGAAACGCAGAAGAAAGAAATGAGCAATAGGAAGAGGGAGCAGAGCCTTTCCTTTGAGTATGGAAATTATTCTTCAAATGTCTTTGTTGACAGCTGGCGTGGCACAAAATAAACACAGGTCTATTTGCAAGTAAACAGGAATTAGCATAAACAGCAGCTGCTGTATTACCAGAAAACACGTAACAATAAAGAATTTTTTTCTGCCTTCAGAAACAAAGGTAGGTAAAAAGCCTACATGAAATAATGAGTTAGTTAACCACCTGTTAAAGTTCTGAACACCAACAAAATGGAAGAGCTATTTGTTGATGACATAAGTATTTTTCTCAATCAAGCTTTCTAATTGAAACTGAACCTATCCTTATGATACATAAAATCCAGTGCAGTATCAAAAATATCCTCTTGCTCAGCTCTCCTCTCTCCCAAATCAGGGGATTTCCTACACTTGCCTTTTCAGTTGCCTTCTTGCTGCATCTAGATAATAGTTTCAAATTTTTCTGAGGTGGTTTGGATGTAATATCTTACTCCTTCTCCAGCTGTATAGAATAGAAAGTCGAGTCAGGTCATATAGTTGTATTTATGACCAGATCACATTCAGCAGGATAAGTTTATGGTCTTTTGTATCTATTTCTTTCCCTGGTAAAAGCTGGTTAGTAGCATACTCAACAGCATTGTCATATATTAATAAAAACTAATGATCCAACTCAGTGCAATGTAGAAACAAGAGAAGAAGCAATTTTAAGTGCATAATTTTAGATTGATGGTGCTTGAATTTATAGCTTAATCTGTCTCCCATGGGGGATGGCTTACCTGTTCAATTAACTTGCCAGTGTAAGTCGTGCACTCAGCCATCTGTAGGTTCTGTAGATCCACTTATCGAGATTTGCTTTGTACTTCAGCACTGTGATCCACATCTGGTGTGCGTTTGTTTGGAACTGCAGCTATTTGTCTCTGGATTTTTCTGCAAATAGGACATTTTTTAAAACAAAAGCACACTAGGTAAAATAGCCCTGTTTAGAGTTTAGAGAGAGAGTTATATCTACAAAGTCAGTTTAACATAAGGCCCAATACACAGTGGCTTGAAATCAGTGAGTTTTGGTGCCAAGTGGTCCTGTCAGACCTTGATACTGCTTCTTACCAAATGATTCACTTTGTTTCATAAGTCAGGAAAATTAGTTGAGTAAAATATTACTTACACTCCATCAGAATCTGACTAAATAGACATCCAGTGCTTGGGGGGAGCGTGAAGGGATGTGTTTATGGCCATGTAAAAAGTCGGTGTCAACACCAGGATGAGAGTTTAAGAATTTCTTCTTTAAGGTCCCACGTTCTTTTTGTTCTTTCCTTTCTCGCTATTTGTAAGTTTAAAAAGTGTTTTATTTTGGGTGGGTTTTCTTATATCAATAGGTATTTGTTTTTACTGGTAAAAGATTTTTGACAATATTTTGTGTGGGAAGAGTTGTGTGGCCTATGTGGAATGTTTGTGAAGCAACACGTTTTTCATTTGATCACAGTTTTGTAGTATCTCTTCTGTTTCCACTGTCAGCTTCTGTTTTCAAGGTAACCATATTTCAAAAGTGTGGTATCATTTTCATGAGTGAAATACTTTGGAAGCTTTTGAAATAAAAAAACATACAAAAATTTTCCACAGTAGGTTTCTTTAATGAGCAGAGAGCATCAGATCTCTTAATTTGCTTACACATTGGGCCAAATTTTCTTCAATACCAGTTATTAAAAATACATTTCTGTTTGGCTGTTGGTTTTTTTTTGAAGAAGAAGAAGTTAAAAATCCTCAGTTGTTTACATTATAGATGGAGACATCAGCATCTCAGCCACAGAGATCATAGTAATTTTATTAATACCATTCACAAAGGTGGGGTTTTTTTTCCCCACAGTTTTATTTTTTAATTTTTTTTGTCTCTGAAAACATTTCATCCACTATATATATCTGCTAGTTATTTTTGTATCTGAAAAAGCGTCTGGGCATATAAGTCTATATATATGAGAAAGAGGCACAGAATCCTCATTCTCTGTCTGCCTGATAAACTGAAATGTGTGAAGTCCCAAAGCAGACCTCACTGTGGCCAAACACTATTTTATCTTAGGTGAGAACATTTTTCTCTCTCTCTCCTTACACTGATTTGGACTCTGATAGCACAGCACCTCAGCCCATGTGGAGCTGTGTATAATCTCCATGGAGCTGCTCTTGGATAAAGTAGTTTGCATAGGAGCAGGAGTATCATCCTTTGGACTCCTTGACTTACCAGTGACAACAGCAGTTGAACAAGATTTGATCAAATCTCAAGTCAGAATGGGGGACATTTGCCTCTTCTGTTCCTGTTTTTATATCAGGCAGATATCAATCTGATACCAGATTTAAGTTCAGACTGAAAATAGAAGAGTTAAGATCTTGCCAGATCAAGATTTTCTCACTATACAGGAGAGACAAAATATTTTAGGTAGGAAAATATGTCAAGGTGTGGGAAGGGTAGCAAGAGAACTTGATAAAACCTGAATTCACTGAAGATACTGAAGTTTTCCTTTTGATTTTAGTAAGTCCAGCACGTTACACTTGAATTTAATTCTTTAGTGGACTCCCTGAAAGATCTGATGTGATTCAGCACGGACAGGGTTGACATCTGTTTTCCTGCCTCTGTTATGTGCCTAATTCTTTCTTCCCATGTAAGATTGGAGGGAGAATAATCACTTTGGTGATTTGTTGGGGTCAGAAATGACACTGCTACATAAGCAGATACAACACAGTAGGAATACCAATGTGATCTGTGTCTGGACCCTGGTTTTCTCTTCAAAGGGAATCTTGTTCTGAGGTCTTTTCTTTGGCCTCTCTTTTCTTTTTTCAGCCCACCTTCTCCCCCACATTTGCAGGGCTCTATATCAAACAATAAAAACCTTGTGCTTTTGGATCTCTGGCAGCTGAGCTCCTCTGCCCACCCATTTACCTGTCCTTCACTCCTGCACTAGAAGAGGAAAATCAAATTTTTTTTCTCACATCAATTTACTTGCAATTTCATCTCCTCAGCAAATTCCACCAAATTCCACAGCCTGTCATTTTGTAT